GAGAGAGAGAGAGAGAGAGAGAGAGAGAGAGAGAGAGAGAGAGAGAGAGAGAGAGAGAGAGAGAGAGAGAGAGAGAGCTGGTGGCAACCGACCTGTAGCGGCTTGATGATTGCTCCTGGCTCCCGTTGCCTGCTCCAGGTACCTCCTGCTGCGCGCTGCTGCCTGCTCCTGCGTGCTCGAGTTGCCTCCTCTTCCTTGCCCGAGCGATGGCTGGTGCTGCTGGTGATGGTCGGGCACGAACGACGACGAACGAGAGCAAAAGACGGCCACCAAGGAGAATGGGGCAACGGGCAAATACACCCACTGCTGGGATGCCCAAAGGTTGTTCGAAAAACTCAGACCTTCCCCCAAAAAAGTTTTCGGGTCTGCTCGCGGCGCCACGGCCCAAATTTTTTTTTTCCCGCCAGGCGAACCATTTTACCCAGGTACCCCTCCGGGCCTCTGAACCCCCCCCCCCCCCCCCCGAACTTTTTTTTCTTTTTGAGGCCCCCCCATTTGGCCGGTGCACCTCATGCCGTGTGCGCGGGGGCTGCGTGGTGCGCTCTGCGCCACACGTGCCGCGCAACCGTGCACGGCATGCGCCGCAAGTATGCTATATATATACACTATATATCCCTTCTGAATAGAAACAGGGAGAATGTCTCAGTCCTTTAGGAGTACTCTCTACTACAGTCAGCAGTATTTATCGTCTCTTTTTTCCAGTCTACTGTAGTCAGCAGCATGGATCTTTTCTCTTTTCTCTTCATTCTGAAGAGATCAGAAGGTGACAGGACGCCTTTACTGAAGCTCCACAAAAAACAAGACATCCGACAACATCAAGATGACAGTTTGTCTCAGCCTGGCAGCTTTTCCCCAACACTGCTAGACTCTGAGTTCTGCTCCTTCCTCAAGTCATTCTGTGTTTATTGGTGCTTTGTCGCCTCGTTCCTGGACGTTTCCAGCTGTCCTTTTTGCTTCACCTGCCTGTACGGGCCTCGCTGCACTACTAACCAAATCTGCAAAATAATAACAAATCTCCCGCTGAAACATGGAAAGATACATCACCATAATTTTTGTCTTTTGTGCATATGGACAGTAGTGGATAATTTGGCTTTTGTGCAAGCGGAGAGCAGCGGAGTGAGGCCCTATCTCCACCCATTCAACAGGGAGACGGCGGCATCAGATAATATCTGAGAAAGGACAAAGACACCGCGGAGACATCTTTCATATGAGGCAGCTAAAAGACGGCAGACTATGGCTTCCTTCTTAGTGCAGACGGAACAAGGACGAGTGCAAAGGCAAAGATAACAAGATGTTTACCCGACTCTCCGGAGGTACCTGACCAATGTTTGGGTCTAATGCACCGCAGACCGAGCAATCGCCGAGGTGCACAAATCGAACAGAAAAAAGACTGGTTAGACTCATAATTTGCCAAACTGTTCTCAGTTACACACTTCTCAGGCAGCCCAAAATCAGGCTGAGAGGAAAATAGCAGAGGCGAAGTAAAGGTAGAGCAATCGCATTGTGCCCAATGCGAACTGAAAATGCAACATTCACCTGACCAAGCAGACATCTGACCAAGAGGCTAAGTGGGCTGGGGTGAAAGTGAAGCTCCTTGCACAGCATATTTTGCAACCCAGTACACAGGAAAGAAGATTAGATTTAACGCCTGAATCAGGACATGTTTGTGGAGAGATGCAGATAATCGACTTTGATCTTCTTTTCTACATCTCTGCTTAAAACCCATCAAGAGTCAGGTGCGTAATCCAACCGGGACCAAGTAACCTTCTTTGCTAGTGAGAGGGCCCGGGTGTACCCTGCTGGTGGGACTGGACCCCGGTGTACCCTTGAGGAACAGTTCCGCTTTCGCACATTTGATAAGTAACATGAAAAAGAAAACGGGCTTGTTTCTCCGACGGGCTAGAAAAGAAACTCGGAAGACGATTGATTGACTATATGGGTGTATACAACAGTCTGTCCTGCCGCATGGGAGCAACCAATACCATTGGAGGTTCCTCTAAGCGTAGCCACAGGATGCGTGAGGCGAGGAGGGTATTTTTTGTAAAATTGAAAAAAAATATTTGCCAGTTGAAAACGAACCGGACGAACTGTGCCTAGAATACCATAAGGCCCTTAAAAAGAGATGAAAAAAAGGAGGTGAGAGGATCCCTACAACCTTGGGCAAACCATAACTGAGATGCAAACTAGCCCCCTATGACCCTGCAGACCCTGCACAAGGGACTTCTGTCTTCACCCGAATAGAACGCCTGGTCATCTGGAACAGATGTTGTCTCAAATACAGATATAATGACTGGGCGTTCTCTTCGGGTGAAGACGGTAGCATCGGATCCGTAGGACTGTAAGTGAATGGGGTTTCTCAGCAGGGTGCAGTTCTTTTTGTGTTGTTGCCTATGATGAAGTGGCTGCAGCATCCTTGGCTGTAAGAATGACACGACAGGGGGGGAAGGGGTTCAGGTCCAGTCCAATTCATTGGTGCCCTTCGGGCAGAGCACACGGAAAGTGGGCCTCGCTCCACTACAGCGCCTTTGAAATGTATCTGAATGGCGAATGGACCAAAGACATCTGCACGTGGTGAACGTTTGAATGGATCGGGGGGACGATCGCCATTTTCAGATACTTCTGGAATGTTGCGTAGTGGATCGAGTGAAGCCTCATATCATCGGTGTGCTGGCTGTGAACTGGATTGCATCCCTGTGCTCATGCTCGCTTTTTGGCAGTAGGGAAAAAGTCGAGAAACGTTTACAGTGCCCTCGAAAGCATTTGTAATTGAAAAAAGTACACCGAAGATTAGAGCTGCCACGGCATAACAATTGGCCTTGCAGCACATCAAACAAAACGAAAAAAAAACATGAGTGCATCTTCCCACAGAAGGTGGCAAGAAACATTTGTTACTGCATCTTCCCATAGAAGGTGGCAAGAAACATTTGGCACTGTACATAGTAACGGGTGAATCTTGCTACCTTCTGTGGGAAGATGCACTCGTCTTTTTTTCATTCTGTGAGGAGCGTGGCGAGGCCCAATGACACACACAAATCAACAAAGATCCAATTTTCCAAAACACTGGAAAACAAGAAGAAGAAGAAGAAATGCTGACAATACGTCTTGTTGTTCACAATGGTATCTGGTCCAGCCCAATACATTCTCGATGTCTCCGGAGCTAATGATTGTCCAATACATTCAAAATGTGGGATCGGTCCAGATGTGTCTGGTCCAGGAAACAGTCCAGATACAAGTAGAATGTTGTGCAGCGCAGCGAGGCCCATACTGAGAAGAAACAGTTGATCCATCAGCTGTGACTTTAACACAATGATGCCAGGTGCCCAAAAAACAAAAAGAAGATGCCAGGGTGGCCCTAACTTCAGAAAAATACCACAGTCTGGCACTTTGGAAGCATTGAAAAAGTCAAAAAAACAGGTGCACGTTCCAACCATTGAAGTCTTTTCCTGAACTGGCAGGCAAGCTGGCCAGTGCCGTTTTGTGGGGGTTGCCGTGCTTAGTTTTTCTTTTCTTTTCTTTTCTTTTCGCCTTCGCTCTTTGTCTTGTTTTGTATTATTACCGGCCCTGGGCCTAAGGCAAAGTACACATAGGGCCTCACTGCATTACTCTAGATTCGAGCTTTTTCTTGAGAGTGGCATGACTGCACTTACTCAAGAAATGGGTGCTTGAAAACCTGTTCTAGAGCTGTCAGAATGACTCTAGAAAAGTAATAGAGTCGTCATCGCTCCACTTACTCGATAAGTTTGCTCTACATTTTTCATTGCTTGAGCAGCGGGTTGGTCCTTCTCACTCTAGATTTATCTAGAGCACCAGCCTGCAAAGGCCGGGATTTTTAGGGAGGTCCGGAGGACCCTTGAAACGCCTTGGTTTTCCTACAGTGGGCCTCGAGTCTGGATGGACAACCCAGTCTGGTGCTGTCCTGTAGTGAAATGGCCGAACTCAGAAAGTGACGGAGCAACTCTAGCTTTTCTAGAGTCTAGAGCTAGTGCGGCAATGAGTAGATTTTAGGACTTTTCGTGACTCTGACAGCTCTAGAACGACTCTAGAAAATTTTCACGAGTCAAGGGTAGTACAGCGAGGCCCATATTCACTGCAGAGGCAGCCAGGTCTCTGCAACGCACTCCGGTCACGAGGCCCTGACCTTGTATATTCCAGGGTGCAAGTTGTCGCTCCACCATACCCCTACACAAGGCATGATTAACCGGGCTAAACAGCTGGCAAAAAAAACAGGCAAAAAGCAACTACCTACCTTCTTCTTTACGACTTCAAAGAGCCAGCACCTATCTATCCATAACCCAGCAAAACTTTGGAAATCTCTTCATCAAACGAAGCAGGACCAAACAGGTGCCAACATCAATGACACACGTGCTCCCTTTCCAACCTTAGAGAGCTCCTGGCCACATTCACAAACAAGCCCACATGCCAAACGAGATAAGACCGTTCGACTACCTGTCATAGACTCATAGCCCTTCGAACAAAACATTCCCTCCATTTCCACTAGTAGAAATAGATACAGCTACGCAACTACCGTATGTGAAAATCACACAAGTTAAATGGACAACTTCCAAGTTCCAACCACCTACAAAAAACTGCCGTCTCATCTCCAAGACGAAAAGCCACCTAAATGCCTATTTAACCAACCAGAAATCAAAACTCCATCGAGGTTCTCAAACTCGACATCAAGCACAAGCACGGCAACATCTCTCTCTCTCTCTCTCTCTCTCTCTCTCTCTCTCTCTCTCTCTCTCTCTCTCTCTTTTGACTGTTATTCTATTTTTTTAAGAGGAGAGTCAGGAGACTATTTTGGTGGAGCCCTCACCTCGAACTCCCAACTGTCTCAACTGCTGCTGACCAACATTTTGGACTTCTCCCATTAATGCAGTCCACAACGAGTTCCCACATGCCCTTTTCTTTTCTAAAGAAACTCCTCTTGACTCTGCCATCTCCCACGAGTCCCCACGTGGGCACACAAAGATCATAAACCAAAAAGACAGCAAAAAGGCCACATGCCAAAATCCAAAATAGTGAGCTGAAAATCTCAACGTTGAACTGACAACCAGGGATAAAAAAGACACCACCCCGTGTGTCTCAATGTTACAGTCATAAACCGGTGATAAACGGAACTGAGCTGGAATCCTGCTGGAATCCCTTGAATAAAATCACGATGAATTACCTGGGGCTTGTCAGTTCAAGGATGATATCCCAACGCCATCGCCGATTTAAAGGGGGGGGAAAAAAGGCGGGAACAAAGGGGGGCAAAAACCAAAAAAGAAAGGACCAAAAAGAAAAAGGAAACGAAAATAGAAGAAGCAGATTCTGGGAAGGATGGAAAGTGATTGACTGTTGACAAAATCAAAACAACAACACACAGTCGTAGTCTCTGCTGCTTTCGCAGTCAGACAAGCCTAGATAACATATCTGTAATCAGCCCGTCAAGTACGAGAAGCTTTCACAAGTTGATCACACAAACATCACCATTGCACGGAAATAGAACCACTCATAGCAAGAAGAAAACTTATGCTCCGTGAGGTTTCAGTAAGTGACGTCCAGAAACCCTCCAAGTAGTCCCAGCATAAGCAGCGAGAGTCACCAGAAGATAGACAAATGTCGAGAAGCAATGGAGAGAGGGAGAGAGAGAGAGGGGGGGGGGGGGGGGGGGAGAGAGAGAGAGAGAGAGAGAGAGAGAGAGAGAGAGAGAGAGAGAGAGAGAGGTAATTTTATTAATTTTCGAGAATGCACTTGAGTTCACTCTTCCTTCCCTCTTCATCTCCGGGTTCTTCCCCACCAACTTGCCACCTCAGCAATGCAAGTCCCTCGCTGAAAATCAATGACGAAGTCCCTCTGCAGGTACCAGATATGGCACCCAACCTCCAGCATCAATGCTTGCCATGGAGGTTGGCGCCAGCCTTCTTCAACCTCCTAATGTGACCAACAGCAGCTCCAGTATCACCAGCATCCAAGTAAGTCGACGTAAACTTTTCACACTCACTCCCTCTCTCTCCACTCACAGTCCTGATAACCCTCATCCTCACTCTCTCTAGCTATGGTGGTTCTCTCCTTCCTCCCTGCCTCCTCTCGCACGTCACCGTAGTGCGTCAGTGGAGTGAGACACTGTAGTGTTTCTCCGTGGTATGTCATTGTAGCACGACACCGTAGCGCGGTGCCAGAGGTTGACATGCTGCGTCAGCGGTTGACCCATCGCAGCCAGCCTCCAGGTCATGTCTAGAAATGACATGAAACCGATGTGACGTGTCAATTGACGCGCTGGACAAGCCTCTGGGTCACATTAAAGGAAGGGTTGGCATGGCCACATGGTCACCCGGCGACTGATTCATGGTCCCTGGACTGAATCATCGCAACCACAGGGGTTAAATTAGTGCGGTTCGGCTGAAGCGGCGCTAGGCATGTATCACATGGGCGAGATAAGTGGAATGACCACTTGAGGCCGAAATGGCACAATTGTATGGCCAGACTGGAAGTAGAACAGCCCAAAATGGCCCAAAACGGCCAAAAGAATAACGGTTTAGGCCCCAAGAGAATTGAGGAGAGGTCCCACTTATTGTTAGCACGGGATAGACTGTTCGACTTCCGGGATCGGGCCTTCCCAAGTTCAGGGTTTATTTTTAGCACAGGCCTGTCTGTTCTTAGATCCTACGGGTTGATTTTAAGCACACGCCCGGTCTGTTCTTAGATCCTGCACCATTTTTAGCAAAGGTCCGGACTATTTAGATTCTGCGCTATTTTTAGTGTTGAACTGACTGTTCAGTTCCCCCCTTGGATCCTGCGCTATTTTTAGTGTGGTACTGACTGTTGCAATCAGACTCGCTCTCATTCACAGTTCCTCCACTTCACTTCTCTCTTCGGTCTCTCCCTCTGTCCTCTCTTTCACCTCCTTCGTCACTCTGTGATCGAGCTCCGCGGCTATGGCCGCCTCCTTCTTCTACGTTGGACTGCACAGCGGACTTCACAGGTACGTGACAACCAAACTTGTATCGCTCATCTCTCTCTCTCTCTTCTCTCTCTCTCTCTCTCTCTCTCTCTCTCTCTCTCTCTCTCTCTCTCTCTCTCTCTCTCTCTCTTCTTCTTCTTCTTCGCCGTGGTCTTCTTGCAGGTGCGCGCGGCGGCTTCTTCACCTCCGGATCCGCTATGGCGGACTTCCTCTCTGATGGCGACTTCGGCTATGGCGCATAGCTCTCCATGCAGCACACGACGGACGCGCGTGGAATAGTGGGTACCAGCTCTGATACCACTGTTCAGTTCCCCCGAATCAGGCCGATTCCAGTCCGGTCTAAAAATAGCAGAGTTCCATGCTAATTTTAGCTCGGGACTAGCTAGGACTGGTACTGGCATCAAGCTGTGGGACTGGCCGATCGCCTGGCCCTCTGCTATAGAAGTGGGAGCTAGTCCCAATGAAAAAGAGCCCGGGATGACAGGACTGTGTGGTGGAGGCAAACGAGAAGTGGGGGATGCACCAGTTCCTCGTGGAATCGCCAGTGCAGGAGGAAGAGAGGCCATAGCACAGAGATCAGGGTTGCTAAGGGGCGGTGAATTTCTCCTCTGCCCAACGTGATCCTTGCTCACTCCCTTATTCTTCCTTAATCCATTTCTGAATTAGGACCAGGTCTCATCAGGCATAGTTTAGCAAGACCTGGCCCTAGCGTCTGCTTCGTCTTCGTCAAGAAGGTCCAAGTCTGCCTGTGGAAATCGCGCTCTTGCTCAGCCCGTAGCACGCGTGGATTCGCAAGCACACGCTCAGGCCCCGGTAATGCGCTGCTACGATCCTGACCTGGACGTCAGCCCTGCAACTCGTTCAGAGTGGAAGTGCCTCAATCCACGCGCGCTGCTTGGCTTGAGAAGGGAATCACAATCTTCTAGCTTAGGCCTGCCAACAGGCGTCCAGCTACGATCAGGAAAAGAAAGAACTTGATCACAACTATAGTATAGGAAGGCAGAACTATTGGGAGCTCATACAGGCTGGAAAGCAAGTCCCGCGTTTGGGAAGTACAAGCCCCGTGCTCTGACCTGCTACTTCTGATCCGCGCGCACTGTATTGCGACCGGGGATCCCGGCGCGCTGATTTGCTCGAACTAGCTTGCTCGCACTAGCCTGCTATTGCTGATTCGTGCGTGCTGGCTGGATACAGCCGATTCATGCGTGCTGGCTGGTTACCACTGATGCGCGCATGCTCTCTGGCTACCACTGATTCGCGAGCGCTGGATCACTACCACCGGTACATGCACGTTGGCTTTTCAAGTTCCTCGCCCAGGCTATCTCTTCCTGATACTGCTGTGGTGCACCTTGCTTATTGGGCACTGGGTTTGTTTTTTCTTGCTTGAGGATTCGTACTCATGATCTGTTCGTCAACAACTATGTGTATACCACTCAGCCATATACGCTGGGTACTGGGCACTGTTTAGACCACCAGTGCTTCTGGGAAGTTCGGCCATGCTCGTGCCAGTCATTGCGACAGTGCCGCGATGGTTTGCCATGGCTGAATCTGTACGCTCGCTGCAGGCCCGTGCATCCCAGCTCACTGTAGCAACGTTAACGGCCAACTTGCTGGAAGTACTGGTAGAAAGTTCTGATGGTTCCTGGTGGGTGTGTCTGGATTCATTCTGGGTTGGTCCAACTAGAGGGGGCCCTTCCCACCGGGTAAATACTGAATACCAAATTCCACTGTCCATTCTTTATGTTTGCCAGCTTGTCATCCACTAAGATGTTCTTTCTGAAGCTGTTCAGTACCCGCTGTGCTTTATCTGATTCGTTCTCCATCCTTTTCAGAGCACAGGCCTGCTGTGTTGACATGTTCTTTCTGTCTGTGGCCTCTTGACATCTTCTTTTCACCAATCTCTGCATGTCATCCTTGCACAGGGGCGATGCTAATCTTCTCTGCATCATTCCAATTTTAACGGATGTCCCGAAGGAAACATCTTCTTTTCACCAGATTGACGAGAATAGTGCTTTGTAATGATTTTGGAAGGACTGGTTTTGAAATGGACTCCAGTCCTCTGGGATGTTCATTTTTTAAGATGGTCACCACATCTTTGGTGAAAGGCTGCTGTCCCGTACATATGTGCCATAATGGTTCGGCTCTTACCCAAGGAGATGAGGTTCTGTTGCAATACAAGGAGCAAAGCAGAAGGTCCTCTATGAACCCATTGGAGCAGATTGAGCACAGTTCTTTCAATGGGTTCTTGTGAGCTGTACTTTCTCCTTTATTTAAACGAGGCCCAACGTA